CAGAAGATGCTCGATGGTATCGAGCTCGTATTATACGATATATTTCAGGTTTGTTATCTAAATTAGTGTGTCTTTTCGATAAATTCTATATAAATATATAGATCAAACATGTGAAGTATTCTATATTGATTATGGTAATATGGAAGAATTGTCAATCGATTTATTGCATGAAATTTTACCTGATTTTGCTCGAATACCGGCTCGTGCTATTGCATGTACGATTGCTGAAGTAAAGAAAAATAGTTTCAAATCTTTCGGAAAATACAAGTTTGTTTGCTTGTTTTAATTAGATATTACCACCGAATGGACAAGAAGGTTGGACAAAACGTGCAACATTTGCATTTGCTTCACGTTGTAGTAATGAATGTGTTCAAGCAACAGTTGTTGAATCAACGAATATTAAATGGCCAATGCATATTGTTCAACTTCGTGTTTCAAAAACACAAGAGGTACAGATATTAAAAAAAATATTTTCAGCTTGAATTTTCTAATTTTGATACTATATTTTAAAAAATTTCCTAAGAGAATATCTACTAAACAGATAAAAAACATATCGTTTAGTTAATTAAATTCTTTTGGTTTTGTGTTTCTTCAACTATTTCTTTCTCAAAAGAGACATCATAGACATCCTCCTCTACTGTTACAAAAGAAGTCTTTCAACTACTTAATTGCTTTGGAGTCGGGACTATATGCATCATGAAGATCGTAATGAGTCATTAATATCCTGAAAACAGTTCGAACTCTTAGTTTATTTCTTCTAATATGCCGTATTTTTACGATATTTTTTTAAATCAATATCATCGTCTCTCTCAGGAGCACTAGGAAAACTTGTTATCGAATTTCGACTTCAAGCTTTTCATAGAGATAGGTCTTAGCAAGAATAGTTTATTCTAAAAGTTTCAGATCTTTTGATTTTCTCGTATTCTGAAATAAGAATGTCGGATCTGCTGGTGTATACGAGTAGTGTAAAAGACATACTTTTGTCATAGTTGTATATTTTAGGATAGGAACAAGGAAAATATTTGAAATTTTCAAAATAGACTACTTTTTCTCTATGGAAACTTCTAAGTCGAAATATAGAAATTCGTTTTTCGAATATTCCTGAAGCGAATTACGGCATTGATTGGAAAAATTCCGTAAAAATATAATATATCAGCAACAATAAACTAAGAGCCTGAACTCTTTTTAGACTATTCATAATTTATTAAAGTCTACATGATGCATATAGTCTTGACTCAACAACAATTAATCAGTTGGGAGAGTTCTTTCGTTAATTATGTTTTCAACAGTAATATACGAATGTTTTTATTTTTTGATTGATTAATAAATAAAATATTTTTTTTCATAGGATATTGGAGCATCACTTGAAAATTGTAAACTAGCTCGACATGTATCAAACAATGAAATATGTGAATTTTGGTCGAATAAAATTCGTCTCGAACAATACATCTTATACAATTTACAAGAACCAAATCCAAATCGATTTCCATTAATTGAACAAGGTACATCTTCTTATTTCCATTATATGACTACTAATCCAGTTAATTTTTCACCATCAACTATTATTAACATCTTCGATGAAAAATTCCATAGCAATATTAATAAAGTTAGCAAAGATTTGGCATTTGTACATCGAAATTGAATTCTATATATACATATATCTGTTCTATTTTTTTTTGTCTTATTCTCCTCTAAGTACAACATTGTTACAATCAAATCATTTCTTCTTTCTTTTTTTTTCTTTTTCACATAGTATGTTGCTGGTATACATTTTTTTTATTATTACTTTCTTTTCTTTCTCCTTATTGTCACATTATCTTTACGTATCAGTAAACCATATGAAGGTTATCGTTACTGTTATTTTTTGTTTGTTTGTTTGTTTGTTCATATATAGTTCATACGTGTATTGATTTGAGATTTAGTCTAGAGAAACATAGTTAAAAAGACAGATGAAGCAAAAATAAACAAGAACTTTTGAAAATTCTATCAATTTTGCATAAGACAATAAGAAAAAAAGATAGAAACGATCAAAATCAACGTCACAATCAATCTATTCATTCAATAGTAGTGTTCAGATTAATTTTCTATTTTGTTTGTTTTGTTTTGTTTTGTTTTTTGCTTTAATACAAAATGCTTTGAAAATAATGTATTGTCTTCTTTTTTTTTTGTTTTAGTACCAGTGAAAAATACAAACGAAGAATCTACAAATACATTTCTGTCATCATCACTTCAACAAACTTCATCTAGTGATGATTCAACGAAAGAAGAAACATCTGTTATAGACGAAATAAAGCCATTGAAAGAAAATATTAATCAAACAATATCAACTATTATTCCTAATGAAGAATCCAATGAAATTGTATTAGCTAAACAATCAATATCTAATGTTTTTGAAGAAAAGAAAGAAGAAAAACCAGAACTCACTTGTAGTACTCCATCATCTGCTCTTAATCCCGATGCAACTCCTTTTGCTGTTTTATCAACAATTAAGACCGGCAGTAATCAATCGATATCTACTGGAGATGAAAGTGATGATGAAATTGATTCAAATGAAACACCAACTACTAGTGGTAAATAACAAAAATAAATATAATTCAATTTAAAATAATTATTATATATTTGTATTTATAAGATTCATCTGAACGTCCACGTATGCCTATCAAAGAAGAAGTTATTGTTGATACAAATTTGATGCCATCAACGCCTCTACTTAAATCTTGGTTACCAATAGAAGTAACTCATATTGAAACACCAACTCGTTTCTATATTCGTTATATATATGGTCCTAGTTGGAATTTAGGCAATGGACAAACACGTAAGTAATCAATTCAATTTCGTTGATAGGTCATAATTTTTATTTGATTTTTTTTATAGCTGAATTAATTAATAAGCAGGAAATACCAGAAAAAAATGTTGTATTGAAAGAATTGACCCAAGAAATGACGTATATCTTGTTTTTTTTTATTATTTTTCTTAATGAACAAATTTATTGATTTATTTAGACAATGTTATAGTAAACATAAACGTATTTGTCCAGGTGATAGTTATGATGAAGGTGAATTAGTTGCTGTTAAATTACGTTCACAATGGCATCGTGGACGTTTTATAGAATATAAACCAAACATTGATTTTGCACATGTATGTAAACATGTAGTTTTTTTTCTTTTCAAATGAATATGAATCAAACTTTTTAGATATTCTTTGTTGATTATGGTTATACACGTTCATTACCTATTCAAATGATTCGACCAATTAATAATCGTTTTGTGGTAAGAAAATTTTTGTTTTATTTCTATATTATGATTTATTTTTAGTTACATGCTGAACAAGCTCATTTAGTTCATTTACATCAACCTAGTCCACGTCGAGGTCGTATGGAATGGAATATAAATGTTATTGATGAATTTCGAGAAATGACCAAAAATAATATAAATTTATATGCAAGAATTATTAATGAACCAAATACAATTGAACTAATGTCTTATGATCCATTAACAAAAAAATGGTTTTCATTCTATGAACATTTTGTTAAACATTTAAATAATTGTGATAACATAGAGCAAAAAAACTGAATAGAAATTATTTATCTATTTGTTACTTCCTTGTCTCTTGTATGATATTAGTCTTTCGATTGTTCGTTTTCGTTTTGTTTTTTGTGATGCTACATTTTTCTCTGTATATAGAACAACTTTGATAGGTTTATTGAGCATTATGTGAAGTACAAACTTTTTTTTTTATCTCTATTGATCTTTGTTCCTAGAAAGATTGTATTTCAAAGTTATTAAGAGATGTCTAAAAAAAAGACACTTGTTTATCAAAAATATATAACTGTTAGACTATGTAATCAGAATTTGATAAAAATCAAACATATGGGTAGAAAAGAATTTTAAACATGGCGAATCAAAGAGAAAAATTATAATATTAAGATTGTATAATAAAGATGTTCACTACTTGATGAAATAATACAAATGATTTATACATATCTTAATTTTCATGATTCTATTTCGAAATACATCTACTACAATACATTATTATCCATAGGATTCAACGAAATTGATTTTCTAATATCTTGCAAAAAAATCTTAAAGCAAAGAAATGAGCTTTTTTTACATTGTTGTATAACTTGAATATAATCTAGCAATAAAATTAGCTATTATAAGTATAGTGTAAGAAATTTAATGATTTTTTTTATATGTAAAAAAATTACAAGTATCATTATCTGAAAAAATATTATCGTTCAGGTTCATAAAGATATTCTCTCTACAAATAATTCTCGCTGTTGAATTTGGATAAACAAAGATAACAGAAGCAGATACATAGTATAGCTTATATCAATAATCGGAAATAAATATATTATTGAATATATAATCTAAATAGTTCTAAAGAAAAAAAAACCAATAAACTATTGTCGATAAAATTGTTTTTCATATAGATTGAAACGAACCTTAATTATAAGCGACAGAAAACAAAATAATAGAAAAAACCTGCTTAAAGAATTATTGAAAATCATCTTTCTTGAAGGTTTCGATTGAATTCAAAAGAAAAATAGCCTATTAATACGTATGTTTATTCATGAATTTATCAAATGAGCTCTGTGATGAATTTCTTCAGATGTATTTAAATTTGGAATATGAGACACAATTCAATTTCATGTGTCATTCTATGTACAGAATGGTTTTAAATCATTAAAATATGTTCAGTACTTTTAAAATATCTACATCAGCTATAGTATTTACTATGAATCAGAGAAAACAATTGAAATTCTGCGGCACTTTTGTATGTTTTTAGACAAATCTTAACATTCTTTTGATCTAGTTTATCATTATAAAAATAAAAAATTGAGATGACTCCATCTCTTTACAATGATTTAATTTAAAAACCAAACAAGTTTTTCGTAAGTTGAGAAGTATCATTCACTCAACCTGTAAATTTGAGAAAGAAACATGAAGGTTAGATGCTGAATATTGTTGAGAATCATTGCAATCTATATCATACAATCATTATCGTCCTTGACGAAGTTGACCACCGCCACGGCCACCACCGCGCGAACCTTGATGTCCACCACGACCTCCACCACCACTACCCTTATAGTTATTACGATGTTCACCACCACTTCCAGGTCGACCACCATGTCCTAATAAAGTAGACAAGAAAAAAATTCAACCAATAAAAAATTATGCTTGAAATTTTTTCATCTTTCATTTCTATTTTACCTCCACGACCACCATCGCCACGACCACGAAATGGTCGTCGTGTTGCTGGTCCTGAACGTGTTGGCTTTTCATTGACATCTTCTTTGACAAGTCCAAGGATATCTTCTGGTAATCGAAGATATTTTATTGTATTACCACGTATATAGCATTCAGGAATTTTCCAAAACCGATCGCCATCCTATAAAACATAACTAGTTAGGTAAATGATCGTATTCAACATAATGAAAAATTCTTACTCGAGAAGTACATATAACATCACGCAAGTGAATATTCATAAAATTATCGCAACTAATTAAATGTCCATTGTACGTTTCACCATTTTTTAATTCCACCAACTATAAATATGATTGTAAATTTTTTGTTTTACTTGAAAATATTCATCAGTGTCCGATTTAGGTGAAGTCAGATCTCTAGTCGGATTAAGAAAAAATTTTTGAATTTCGGGCTGAATCTATACTCCAAACATTTTGCAGATGCAAAAGGCATGTTGAATGAAATTTTCATTTAAAAGTTCTTATACCGAGAGCATGGGAGAGCTTAGTAGAACAAGAAGTTATGTATCGCATGATCTTTTCTTCCACTTCATCGACCTTTCGTTATTGACATTGGACAACAATGCATAGTGAATGTATTGTCTGTTCAATGGTGATATAAAAGTCGCAGATTGTATATATAAGAAAAGAAAGACAAACATGAAAACACTATTATATAACCGTATGGTCCCAACTGCAGAATATCAAGGATAAACAAAGGTCAAAGACATACCCTTTGTTTTCAACTACGAAATGAAAGAAGAAAAAAAGGATTGAGAAATAGATTTTCTCAAGAGAGAGAGAGAGAGAGAGAGAAAAGTGGTCGATACCAGAGTCCAACTCGTGCTCAGGCCAAAAAATGGATGAGTCGAGTCACAAAAATTTAATCCATGTCAGACACTGGTACTCACCATAGGATGATAAACCGCAGTTCGAAGAAGTGTTAAAGGAAGCTAGAAGAGAAAAAAAACAGCAGAATATTTATTGCGTCATATTATACTATTTTTTTCTTTGATGACTCACCATCTAAAATGAAAAAAAAGCAAAGAATAGTAATTAATGCATTAATATAATATAGAATCAGCTCGTTGTATATTTAATATTCGTAAAAAAAAAACAAGTAAATATATAATCGTTCTAAAAATTCGTTAGACATTACATCTAATGAAAATTTCTCAAATAAACACTAAATTTCACAATCAAAACGTAATAGCTGCATAATACCAAAAAAAAACTATTGCTTTCCTCAATTCTTCTTTTAACCGTCTATAATCATAGGTATTTGTTTTTCTCTTAATTCTAAACTAGTTATGCATTTTAAAATATAATGAGAAATACGAATACTAGTATTCAACTCTATTGAAGAAAGATTGATGTACATGGTAACTACGTTCATTTTCCTGGTTATACAATTGTCTCACATGTTATACATCCATTACCAAAATCATTAATTGATCTTGTTAATTATCTTTCTTCAAGGGAACTTCAAAAATATTATTCATTTCTACTCATTACAAGTTATCATGTTACTATAAATCAATTTGAAAATGTTCATGAGGAACATAAATCTCTTTTAGAAGAAGAACAACGTAAATTAAAAGAACAAGATACTTCAATTATATGTACAGCTGAAAAACTAATCTGTTCTAAAGCTATTTTAATTGAAATACAATTTAAAAATGATAATGATCAAAATTTTGAAAATATTATTAAAAATGTTCGATCTAATGAATTACAACAAGCAAATATTCTACATAATTATGAACTTTCTTGGCATTTAGCATTAACTTATCAATATAAAGATATAGAAAATAATGAAATTAAAGCAAAATTTCAACAAATAATTGAAAACATTCCTCAAACATCTAAATTTCCTTTTCATATTCCACTTGATCATATACGAATATGTCATTATAACGATATGACAAAATTTACACCGATTTGACATAAATAAAAAGAAAAAAGAACAATCTAAGAGCGTTAATTTTATTTAACAGAATAAGATCTAATAAACAACAAAAATGATTAGGTTTAATTGTTTTTTGATTTTTTTGATCAATATGAATGTATTGCAACTAACGTGATGATTAAATTTTTGAAAAACAAAAAATTATTTTAAAGTTCTTCTTTTGATTTTTCAAGATCAGCACCAAAATCTGTTATTTGTGAACCAGCAAATGATGAATAAGCTTGAACAATTTCATCTGGTGTACAATAACCATTTTTATCAGTATCACATTCCTTTAATAAATGCTCAGTTTCTTGATCGACTGTTGATACTAATGATGGCAAATAATAATTAGTAAATTCTTGAAAATCACCAAAACCATCATTATTTACATCAAGTTCTCTACTTAAAGATTCTGCTTGACCAGTTTCAGCTTCTATAAAAAAGAAAAAAAAAGGAACAAACAAAATCTTATCATTATTTATACTTTTTTTTTCGTCGGATGAATATACCTGTCATTTTTAAATATTCCGGGTTAGAAAGTTTTCCATCATTATCTTGATCATATTCGTTAATCATACTATTAATTTCAATTTTACCTAATTCTTCATCATCTTCTGGTCGAAGAAATCGTCGAAATTCATCATAAGATAATGATTGATCACCATCTGTATCAAGATATTCCCATTTTTGTTTATCTACTTTATATAACTTCAAAACAAAAAAAAAAGATGTATATACATATATTTATCTAAAATATTGAAAATGAAAATAAATTCTTACTCGTCGAGTTTCACGTGTACTTGGATCTGGTTTATCAGACATTTCTAATTGATTTATATCAAAATCACCAAAACTATCACGAACATATGCATCAAATGTTATTTTCTTTGTCTGTTTTGGATCAAGTGTAGCGATCAACTCATCTGCTTCGCGATTATTTTGTTCTCTAAACAGAAATCAATGTTATCTCATCGAAAGTTGGAGATAAAAAAAATATAGATAAAACAAACTGAACACGTTCTCCAGTATAACTACGCATTTCATCATATGATATTTGTCCGTCTTGATCTGTATCGATTTGCTTTGCAACTTGACGAAGTTTTTCATGTTGTTCCGATTCACTTCCATCCATATCTTCTCCTAAAATATTTTGTTCTTATTTTATTTGAAAAAAAAATTATAAGTACCAGTAAATAATTTTTTGTGTGATTCATGATCATGGTGATCATCTGAAAAACAAATTTGATTTAATATTAAAAAGAATTTCTATATTAATTAACTTACGTCCATCATGATCGTGATGATGATGATGATCGTGACCATGTGTTTCATATTCCTTATCGGCAAAAGAGCCAATCATTAACAGAACGATACATGTAGCAATTAAGAAAACACGAGCCATATTTAAGAAGATTCAGAATATTATAAATTTTCTCTAAAACAAAAAATATTCACTGAAAAATGAAACTACTAAAAATAAATACACAACATATATGTTCGTTTTTCGAAGGTATGAAATCATAAAAAAATGAACGAAGAAGACAATTCATTACTTTCCTGGATCCTAGATTTGTCTTGTGCCAATTGGTTATGACAATATAACCAGTTATAAATTAAGACTATAGGGATCGTTCTAAACGTTGTTTGTCATAAACGAAAACTTTTGCTAACATATTGAACAGTGTTAAATAAACAAATCATGCATATTAAAAGTATTCTAATACAAAAAAATTCTACTAATAAAAACTTATAGATGGAAAATATTAAAAAGACAATTCATGTCTTTGATGACTTTTACATTAAAAAAAAAATACGAAAAAAAGCTATTAAAACAATGGTGTTTCAATATCATGGATTTACAAGTGGACTTTGTAGTTAAGCAAATGTAATAAATTTCATGTTTAATCGAAATCATAAAACTATTTCGATCAAAACTAGACAAGGATAGACGTCTATGACGAAACTTACGCAAGGACGATGTGCACGGATAGCTGCATACGATGAGGCTTTTGCACGGTATGACGCCCACAATGAACGCTTCGCACAGCAAGACGTGTACAATACAATCATTGCACAGGATGATGCGCATGATTAACTTTTCCATTGATGATTTGTACACAAAAGAAAAAAAAAGTATATTTATACTTCAAAAGATAATAAAAATATAAAGACATATGGTGTGAGCGTTGCTGTTGGAGTAAGTTGGTCGCTGAAGAAAAGACCAAAACCTGTACCAACATTATTCCTTGACCTACATTCATACTTTATTCTTAGTTGTCTATAGTATTTTTAATTTCTTACTATTATTTACGGCTTATGGCAATTAAAGAAGAATATGATCTCATGTCACTGTTCAATACTGAACATACAGTATAATTGTTTCTATCAGCATAATAATTTTTACTAGATAGAATTATTTTTTATTGGATTTTTTTCAGAAGAAATGGTTTTAAATTTTTTTCTAGTTTCATCGAATTTTCATTTATCTGTGCAAAATTTTTCAGTACTAGAAAATACAAAAAAATCTTGGGGTTTTTGAAAAATCTCGAACTTATTCGACTTTCTTTTGATCATATATATATATATGTATACTTATTGAAAAATAACTAATAATGAAATATTCAAAATGAATGAAAATATATATGAAGATAGTGTTGCAACAAAACTCTCTTGCATATTAATATCAGCATAGATTGACTTGAATCGTTTTGTAACAAAAAAATTTAATACTTTGTACTAATCAAAAGATGACATGATTACATTTAATTTATGCGTATGGGTTGTAGTCATTCAAAAACATTTTTAGACAACTAAGTAGTACTTCGTACTGCTTTACTTATGTAACGAGAGCATTACATAAAGTCTTTTCGGTCATCGATGAATAGCACTTGTTTTGTACGTTATTTTCTATGAGAATCAATAATCTAGAATAGTATCTCAAATTCTGACATATTACTTGTGAGACGGATCTAACCAAATCGAGAAACACGTGCCCATTCCCGCCTGAAAACTCGAGAAAATAGTAGGGACTTGAAAACAGGAATCCGGTGAACCGACGTAATGGCCAGCTCTGCCCGATTACGATTAGTTCTGGCTAGAACTAGAAAAATCCGATAGTCAAATCCAATCAACAGCTTACTGCTTCCAAGTTTCTACCTTTTTCTCGAGTTCTCCGACAGCAACCCACTGGAACAATTAACCTGAATATTTTTTGAACTGAACAGAAGAAGATTTTTTCCATTTTTATACATTGATGTGTATTTTATCTGACATAGAAAGGACACACACTCATGAAAGAAAAATAAACGTCTACTGTTCTGCAGGGAACCTAGATTATAACTGGTATACAAAACTATTTTTCAAATACTAATACAACTTGTTTAACTCGTAATAAATGCTTTCATAGAGTAACCTTCTAACTATCTAATGAGACGTTGGAAGAAAATTCAAGATGTTTATTGAGGAAGTCAATATGTTTTCTTTTTTCTTTTTTGTATGATTGCATGAATCAAGAAATACAACCGACAATAAATAGGTATCTCGACACTTTTACGAGTGGTAGTATTTTATAAACGAAAAAGAACGAGATAAAACAAAAAAAACACAATTGAAAACTGCAGAAAGCATAATTCTAGAAACTTTTCTTAGAAAGAAGGATAGTCCGCTTTCGAAGGAGATAACTATGATGAAGATTATTACTGCATATAATGGACCATTGAACATACATCACAACAATGTGTGTAATTTGCAGTTAAAGATTTTTGTTTTCGAAAAGATTGAGCTGAAATATAAATTTCTTTTTGTCGTTTGATTTCTATTTACTGTTCATCGTGTAGCAAGATTAATCAGGATTCTTTCGCGGACACATTGATGAATCTCAATAGTTTTCATTGTTAAATTGAAGAGATGGAATATATATGGATAATAATGCAATCACTCTGATTATAGGATTCGGAAAGAAAAATATGTGCCGATATATGTTAACATAAACGAGAAACAATAAGTGATCCATTGTATACATTAAAAAAAGAGGATGTACCTTTCAATGTGAAGCAACGAGAAACGATATGTTAGAGTACTTTCTAGCATTTATCAGCTAGTTCAAATAAAAGATTCATTCTTATTGCTATTTACTTTTTACAAATTCATTTTTAAAAAACAAAATAAAGACTTTGAATCAGTTTGAATTTAAACAAGAGCAACTGACATTGTTAGCTGAACTGTTAATCGTATATAAACACCTTCCAAACATCAAATGTATTTATATGGTATGTTTTTTTATGTAAACTTCTCTTTCTGACTTCTTTCTTCTTTTATATGACAATAATGCTTTTGTTTTGAAAATGTTGTTTATACATCATATAATTACACACACTATTAATATCATCAATAAATAATCATTGAAAAAACTGTGTGGTAGATAGTGAAACATTGAATTATTATTTTCATACAAAAAATAATTTTTTATGCGGCTCTTTTCTACATTTCCATTATCAAGCTTCAAATAAAAATAGACACGATAAACTATCTTAGTTTAATATGAAATATTTCGAATAAAAGAAGATAAAGATTGATGTTTCTGAACATTTCGAAAGTTACTATTAATGCTTCTCTTTTCTTCTAATGTAAGACAATGCGAAGTATCTTTTAGAAGATAATACAAGAGAATGATATCGTAAAACAACTCATAATGCTAAAAGATTGAAAGCTTATTTCTCTCTAAGCTGTTGGCCATAGTTATCAATATAAGGAAAAAAAAGGAGAAAACGGTGAAATTATTTGGTAAAATAAAGGTACACGTTTTCATTGGTTTGTAATTTTTCTTTGAAATAAGTAAGACTCCTTTCGACGACTTACATATTCCACTTTAGTCACTTTCTTCGTCCTCTACGTTCGAGTTTATAGATAAATGGAACTATGTATTTAGTAGTAGGATTGGTTCATTTATTCATCCAATACTTTCTAGTTTTGTTTTTCTCCTTCCTTCTTCTAATTACAACTGTTTCTTTTTCGATTGCCTATTTTATAACGGTCTATTAAAATGGCATCTTCAGTTCGTAATCATATTCATAAAGTTGAAGAAATACTCAAAGGATATTTATATGAAGGTCCACTTACTCCATTTTGGAGTCTTCTTGAACAGAAGACTAAGCTTAAACGTGAACGCATTGCTTTAGGTATGTCTATATTATTGCTATATTTATTATTTTATAACTGTTTCTTATTCTATTAGGTTTACTTGGCTTTATTGCTATCTATTTGGTTCTTGGTTGGGCAAAAGATTTTGTCTGTAATTTTATCGGATTTATTTATCCAGCATATGCTTCGTAAGTTTTGATTGGTATTTAAATCAAACAAAGAAAGAAGTTAATTTTGGTTTTAATCATTAAAGAGTTTTAGCTGTTGAATCAACAGCCACACATGATGATACAGAATGGTTAATCTATTGGATTGTTTATGCATCATTTGGATTTGCTGAATATATCGGATATTCATTCTTTCATTCGTTGCCATTTTATTGGCTTGGTAAATGTCTTTTTCTTCTATGGTTAATGCTTCCAGGAGAAAAAGGTGGCTCTTATATCCTATATCATCGTTTCATCCGTCCATTCGTACTTAAACATCATCCTGTTATTGATAAACATATTCAAGATGGTAAGATATATATTTAATATTATTGAATAGAAAATTTTATTTTGATTTTCTAGCTAAAGAGCAAATGAAGAAATATTCGAACAATGGTAGCAAATAAAACGATTATCAAAACTTTATTTATACACAAGAATTTGGGTGATGGTGGTGATAGTTTATAATTTCAAATATTTACTTGTGTGTTATTTCTCATTTCAGATGAATCACTTAAAATAGAATGCAAAAAAAAAAATTTCTTGATTTATCTCATTCCATCTTATTCTTATATTATTGTATCTCATAAAATATCTTCTCTATAATTTTTTTCTTTCATGATATTTGTCTCCTTATATCAGTTTAGGTTTATTGTTGTCTTGTAAAAGAAATCATAAATAATCTTTGTATATTTCAATAAAAGTCATTTGATTAGAGAATTACATGAATAGTTTTTATATTTCATTTAGAAATATAATAAACGATATTAAGTACTTTTAATTTAACAAAAACCACACAAAGTAAATGAACAAAAAAAATTAGTTTTACTCTTATGAAATCCATTGAATTGAAATGCTATTTAAAATGAAACTAGAATCTGTAAGTATTGATCTTTCTATAGTATAAGACATCAATGTATGTAATCAAGCAATTTGGTAAAGAACGAAAGCTTTATAAAGGTTACCTTCGTTTAATCAGATAAAAGTTACAATGGAATATTAAGTTATGATGACTTTTATAATTTTTATAAGATTCACAACTATAAAACTTAATGATAGTGATACTTATATTGATTCTCAACAGTTTGCTCATATTGCTGATTAATCACACTTTGGAAATTGTTCATCGTGAAACAAACAGTAAGCCAAACAATGACTTTGTAGATCCAAAGACCTAATGTATTTTCTCGAAAAGGTTGATGCATCATGCTCTATATCCGATCAAAATGACAATGAGCAAACTTTTTTTTGAATCATAATATTCATATTAATCTTTCTCTAAAATAAGAAAATCTTCCTTTCCAAAATTTAGATTATCTCTTCAATAAGTTCTAAATAATTATCATTCAATCAATTAGCATAATAGTCAACATTACATATAGATATTTGTTGACTATACAGTGATATTTCAAAACTTTCAAGAGTAATATCTATTCATGAAGTATTCTGTGAAGAAATAATTTAATCTATCTTATTGTATTCATTTCGATCTCGTTAATATGACCTAAATCACTAGACACAATAGAAGACCGCAGGTTTTCTATTATGTCCTAGCGTACAAATTATTCAAGGAACATTGGAAAGAGATTTTTAGAATTTTAAAAGCTCAGAAATAACGTTCACATCAGTCTTTTAAGATTTTTCAGTTCAAAAACCTAAAAAGTAGGCATATTTGGACGTAAATATACTAATTAAAGTTTCATTTTTTGCGGAAAATTAATTAATTAAGAGGAGTCTTCTAATGCAGGGATGGGCTTAATTATATAGTGATAAATAATGAATAGAATTACAGTAATGTCAGTTATATTAAATGGATTTGTCAAACAATGTTATAAACAACTTAGATAAATAACAAACGAAAATACTGAGGAAATACATGACAAAATCGAAAAATAAAAAGGGCAATTTATTGTTTTATTGGTTTTTTTTATTAGTGTTTGAAGAAAGGATATCAGATAGCTAAGTCATGTATATGGAAATTCCAGTAATAAACATTTATGATTAAAGTACAACTTCTTGTAGGTTGTTTTTAAATATCTAGATCATTCTTGAACGTTTAGCATCTCTATTGAACCTCTCATCATTCTAAAATTTGAAATGTAAACTAGTGTCATCTATCATAATTCCAACAATAATTTTATATTCTATTTACGGAAATACCTAATTACAAAATAGTCTTATTTCAATTTTATAAAATTACATTTTGAAATAGGTCCTTAACTATCGTTTGTCTAGCCTCTACCATGTGTTCTGATAAAGTGAGATAACGATGGTGTTTTGAAACAATAAAAAAAGTGGTCATATCCCGGCGCGGAAAACAGACATACACATTGCATATCAATTCATAAAGCGCCACCTGCAATGTTAAGTATTTCATTCATGACATTTGATTTTTTATTTTTTAGATTATTCTATTTATCTTTTACAAAAATTAGCGAGAATGACTGCTCGCGATCAAATTCGAGCAATGTTGGATCAATTAATGGGAACCGATAATGGTATGTTTCATTAAACCTAAGAAAAAAAAAATGGATTTTTGTCTTTTGATTAACTATTTTATTTTGTTCACCCATATAAGAAAGAATTCGATTCGAAAAAAAGAAAGAAAATTCTATTCTTATTTTTGTTATGTTTAATAATAAAAATGCTCTTTTTCTCTTCATTGAAGATAAAAAGAGTGTATATTGTTTAATAGATATATGTATATATCTTTTTTTAAAATTGACTATGAATATCTACTATCTCATTTTTAATCTGACACATATTCTCTGTATTGAACGCTGTGTTTTTAGCTGATGTCATGATGAATATGTCTATGTTGGGTTTAATAAGCTCTGCGAGCAGCAGCTACTACAAAATAAATATCGTGAGTATATGAATAATAAATCGAGAAGTGGCTCCTCTATGTGAGTAAAATATATAATCTATAACATTGAATTGATATCTTATTAAGGATATCTTCATTTTTATTGATTTTATATATTTTTTTGTATTATCTTATGGTTCGATAAAAAAAAACTTTCTTCATAGCATAGAGGGTACGTATCCGAGGAGATCAGGTAAGTATTCGACCGTTATTTTATGAGATATCTAGATATTAAAACCATTATATTTATATTATTGTTATTCTTATATAAAAAAACATATTACAGGTTCAACTAAATCAAGTATGTCGTTTGAAGATCGTCGAGTTTGTCGACCATTCTTATTAAACTGTTGTCCACATGAAATTCTTTCTGGAACTGTAAGTTATTTAGATTTATATTCAAATTAAGAGAAAAAACAATAACATATTTTTATAGCGTGTTGATTTGGGTGAATGTACAAAAATTCATGAATATGCTTTACGTGCTGATTATGAACGAGCAGCAGCTACACGTGATTTATATTATGAAATGGATGTATGTATGATAATTAGATTAATTTAAAAAATATATGATATTTATTCTCTATTAATAATAGGCATTAGATATGTTAAATAAATTTGTTGCTGAATGTGATCGAAAAACTGAACATGCTAAACGAAAACTTCATGAAACACAAGAAGAATTAGGTGAAGAAGCTGCACGCAAAGTATATTATCTAATTTAACAAAAAAAAAACGAAAATGATTCATTGTTTTCTTTTTTAGATGAATACTATTCATGAACTTGGTGAACAAATTGGTACAAAATTAGCTAAAGCTGAAGAATTAGGTGCACAAGGTTTAGTTGATGAATCAATGAAATTATTAGAAGAAGTTGAAGCACTAAGAAAAGCTAAATTAGAAGCTGAACAAGAATTTCGTTCAACAATGCCAGCATCAACATATCAACAACAAAAATTACGTGTATGTGAAGTATGTTCAGCTTATTTAGGTATACATGATAATGATCGTCGTTTGGCTGATCATTTTGGTGGAAAATTACATTTGGGTTTTATACAAATACGTGAAAAATTAGCTGATTTAAAAAAACGTGTCAATGAACTAAATGAAAAACGTGACCTTGAAAGAAAAAATCGTCGAAAGTAAATAAAAATTTTAAAAAAAATGTAAACAGATTTTATACAGAAAAAAAAACAAAAATTATTTTATCTTTTAGTTCACCGTCACCATCATCACGAAATGATCGTCGAAATGATGATAGAGATAGAAACAATTATCGTTCATCAAATCGAAGTCGTAGTGGATCAAAAAAAACTTCTACTAGAGATAAAGATCGACGACGATCACGATCAAAGTAAAAATATAAGAAAAAAAAATCAAATCATAATAATTTAATATTAACTTTATTTCTTTGTTTTTGTTTTTCTCAGATCTGATCGTCGTTCATCGAAATATTCACGTGGTCATCGTTCATCACGTTCACGTTCCCATGGTCGACGACATAGTAAACGTTCCCGTTCACGGTAGGTCTTCATCATGTTATGATACACAAATATGTAAACAATGTTTAATTTTCGAAATAATAAAATTTCAAATCATTCTTCGATAAAAAATTGTAACCTTAAACTTAGATTGATAAAATAATTCAAGGGTACCTCTTCCTATCTTGTGCAATATTCGCCGAACGTAAAGAAATCATTGTCGAATGCGCAATGATCGAAAGTCTATTAAAACTTTAATAGAAAGAGAAAAATGATGAGTATTTAGGAGAAAATCGAAATTCATTGTAATTTTACGTTTTTCTCAAAATCAAGTTTTCCTACAAGAAAAGTACGATTTCACCTTTCATGTCTCCGGCATGGTAAGAAATATTCAGCTGCAACTTTTTTCACATATACGAGAGACTTTTTGACGTGAATACTTTTTTTCTTATTTAAAACAAACAAGCATTTTTTTAAGGATATGCCCGACATTTTATTACCTATTTTATTCGAAGAACAAAAGATATAAAAAGAATTTAAGAAAACAGATTCATTCCAAACAGTATTCAATACCTGTTAAAAACATTATCATCTCGATCGAACGTAATGTCTTGTAGAAGACAGCATTCGAAAACTTTGAGTCTATGATAACTTTAGCTTTACTCATCAAGATCTATGTGCTCTACAGGTCTCAAAAATTTTCTGATTAGCCAGTCTGCAGAAACTCTGTAAAGTGAGGATTGGCACTCTTAATTTCTCAAAGAATAAACTAAAAATTTTTTTAATATTTAGCTCTGGATCATCACGTCGTCAACGTCGTTCACGATCTCGTTCTGGAACATCATCTAAACATCATCATCGTCATCGACATCATTCAAAATCACCTGTACATTCATCATCAAATTCAAAACATAATGATAGCGGTGATTTTCAACGTAAAGATAAATCTGATGATAATGTATCAACTAATCATGTTGATGATGATGAAGAAACAACACGTATTCTTGAAAATATTCAAAGAAGTATGAAAGAAGATACTATTAATAAAGAACAATAATAAACAGAAAAAAAAATATATATACAGATGAAATAACTTTATTAAATAAATCAAATAAAAAATACACTATGATCTGTACATGTGTGTTTATCATTTGTTTATTTCTTGTTGTGTATGTTAATTGTATTTGTCTTTTCGAAATAGAAACACGTCAAACATGAAGAAAAAAAAGCACATTTGTTTTTATTATTCAAATATTTATTGTAGATTTAAAAAAAAATCTATCAAAATAGAGTTCGATTTCGAATTTCGTCTTACTTGTTATTTAATTATTTGGTTAATATTAACTTTTATTACAATTCTTCTTGCTTGGTATCGTTATAACTGTAGTATTATTCAATTATTGTCTAAAAAACGTAAGAAATTTTAATTGAATAGTCTTAGATAGATAAGAACGGTTGTTCTTGTGTTCGAGGACGTGTTTCTGCATGGTTTTTACTGTGAATCATGCAGAGTCGTTATTCTCGTAAGATGAAAATATTCGGGTACCATCTTGAAATAATAATTAAATGGTCATTTCGAGAATTTGCTCCGATATAAAATTGAAATTTTTTTTTAAATATTTTTTCTTTTCTAGCTTCAAATTTTGAATTACACGGTCGATCACGATCAGATAATTTATTGAATACATCATCTACAAATTCCATTGGTACCAACGCCGTTGCTTCTACAAAAAAACTTGATTAAATAATGTATTGAATTTTTTTTTTCTAATGGACAATCCCGTTTTTTTGGATGAAGAAATTCCATTTGTTGAATCAGGTGTTTATGAAATAGATGAAGCAGGTGGTGGCGGCGGCGGTAATGGTACAACCACAACAACACTTGGACATGGAAATATTATATCATTTAATCATCAAAGACATCCTTTTGAAGATGATCCTATGTGGTCGACAACTATACCTGTTAAACGTGGCCGACGTCCAAAACCTACAACTGTTGTCGTAACAACAGCACCAACAACAACAACATCATCATTATCAGTACAAAAGCCTGAACCTAAACGACGAGGACGAAAACCAAAACAAGAAATTTTATTACCAACTAAATCCTTATCATCAACAACTAATAATAATAATTTAAATGATATTCTTTCGGAATCAACTGAAGATATCGAACAAAAACAACAACAACGACGTTCAACAACAGGATTAAAATCAATAAAAAAAATTAAAAATGAAGAACAACAACAACTTTCTGGTAAATTAATATGATGGATGATTCCCTCTTTATTGTAGAATAAAATTCTATAGGTAGCAAATGTTTTGAAGTTTATGAGTTAAAATGACAAAGATAAATCATTTATATAAACATTAGAATTGACTTGAATTTCAAATAATTATTAACTATGTAACTCTATGTTTATTTTTCTCATTACCATCTACTAGAACGTTTCGTAATTCGATGAGAAATTTTCTATCAGAATGCAACAAAATACGAAGATAATTTTTGATTATTTTCATTTAATTGTCTTATTGTTTAGAAGAAGTTAGCTTACGATCAAAACGATCTATAAAATCTTCATCACAATCAGATTCTCAACAAATTAATTCCAATTTAACAACAAATCAACTTCCAATCACAAATAATACTTCAACAAAAATAAATCTTGGTACAACTGGTAATATTGTTATTATGGGTAGTATAAGTGGAGATAATAAATCAATGAATAATAATCCAACAACATCATATGATCAAGCAGCTATATTACAAGCACTTTGTCAAGCAGGTGTCAATCCATTACATCATGATCCAACAGGAGATGATTCAGATACAGATTCCGATGATGAAAGTGGATCTGATGATGAATCAATGGATAGTGATAATGAAAATAATCAATTGTCAAATATGAATAATAATGTAACTCATTTAATAAATACAACATCACGAGGACGAACACGTCAACAATCAACAAAAAATGTTAATAATAATAATAAAAAGTCTTCAACTATACGTCGTTCAACAACAACAACGACCAATAATAATAACAAAAAGAAACGAGAAAATCTTGATAAAAGTGATACAGATGATGATGATGATGATTCATCATCATCGAATGACGATCTCGATGAATTAGGTGTTGGAAATGATTCAAATAATAATTTAAGTGGTATTGTTGATTCACTTGATGGTGATTCATCATTAATTGTTCCACCAGATTTTTCTAATCCTGATTATGTACAAAATCTTGTTAAACCACATCGTAAACGTCGTACACATTTACCAACTGATGATCAACCTAAAACAATACGTTGTCCACAATCAGGTTGTACAAAAATGTTTCGTGATACAGCATCAATGAATAAACATTTACATACACATGGTCCACGTAAGAATAACAAAAAGAAAAATATTCATTTTAATTTCTATTCTAATTTAAGGTGTACATGTATGTCATGAATGTCAAAAATCATTTGTTGAAAGTTCTAAATTACGTCGTCATCAACTTGTACACACTGGTGAAAAAGCATTTCAATGTCCATTTGAAGGATGTGGAAAACGTTTTTCACTTGATTTTAATTTACGTACACATGTTCGAATACATACAGGTGATAAACCTTATGTTTGTCCATTTGATGGTTGTAGTCGTCGTTTTGCACAATCAACGAATCTCAAACAACATCTTTTAACACATGCAAAAATTCGTTCACATCAACCATTTGCTATTCCAGCTGTGGCTGTAACAATTACAGAAATTCAACCACAGTATTGAAGGAAACTATATATATATATATAGCCTAAATATAATGCACCCTTCTTTTTTCATATAAAAAGTCTATTCTGTTTTGTGTATTTGTGTCTATGTCCATATGTGTGTATGTTGTTTTGTATATAAATGTCATATGATCAGCCAGTCAGTCAGTCACTTAGCCACATCGACGACGATATATTATTCTTTTCGAGTTTATTACTATATTCGATACCGTAGAATAGTATGCGTCGTCAATCTTTATATTCGATTATCTATCTATCGTACATTTTTTTTTGGTTGCTTGTTTTAGAAATTATATTCATTCATTCTTCTCAATAAAAAAAAATGATGAGAAAGATCGAGCAATGAAATTACGTCCTAAGAACAAATTATATTATTTCTTCTTCTAGATATGTCTAATTTTAAGAAATTCTTTTCGAAAATTAAGAATGAGGTCAAATTTTCTAAAGCTGGCGAAGGACATCGATTAAATGAACCATCACCAACTCCTCGAAATATACAACCTCAACCACGTTCACAAATATCTACACGACAAAATTCTGATGGAGGAGCCGCATCTCGAGCTGCTGCTGAAGCAGCACAACAACGTCTACAACAGCAATTATCTGTGCAACAATCAGGAGCTTCAAGTAAGAATAAAGAAATGAAATTAATTTTCTCTTTATAAAAAAACACGAAAGGACTTTTAGAGAATTTCGAAAAGTATAAATTGATATCGAACGGATGAACGAAAAATAATTAGATAAAATGTTCATTTACTTTTCAGCCTCTTAAACGAGCCTGCAGAATTTTTACAAAACATTGGATTCGAATCAAAATTTTGTATTGTTTTCAAATATAAAGGTTCAAAGTATCTCTAGGACTTCTAATTTCGGAGTCACGAATTGAACTTTTAGAGGTATGAAAATTAAGTATGAACAGAGAAAATTCTCATTTTTTGCAGCAATAATCTCCTTTCTTACATATTTTATATTACCGATTTTTTAACATAGAATTAAAGATAAGATTGTTCTTTACAAAGTGCTCTAAGAACCAATAGTTTTAGAATAATTATTCAGGAATGACTGAACTCAGTTTACAAATCTGTTTTCCATAGAAATCGAAAAAAATTAACACAGTATTCCTTATCCGAAATATTTACTGTTGACAAATGACTTGCAGTAAACTAATCATTCGTATACCATTTCACAGAGAAATGAATTCTCTTTCATTCTCTGTATTTGAAATAATTTTCGCTTCTGTTTTGAGTAATATTTGATGTGATGAAATTCCTTCAAACTTAATTTATGGACCTCAAAAAGATCGGCTCATAACTTCTAAACGAGAAGTTCTATAAAAGTTTTGAGTCCAAATTCGAAAAGAACAGAAAATTTTGATTGTAATCTAATGTTTTTGAAATTTCTTCAGACACCTTTATAAGAGACTGAAAAGTGAATAAACATTTTGTCTAATTAATTTTTGATCATTCGTTATAACGCTTTTGAAATTGTATCAAATTCAACAAGGCAATTGAATATCAATCGATCATTCTTTTAATTAAATAAAAATGTTTTTTTTTTAGGTAGTCGTACTGCTGATAGTGTTCGTCGTCAAGCTCAACGTGAACTCGAACAAGAAAAAGCACTTGAAAATCAATTTCAACGTGCACTTGATATAAAAGACCATTATTTTGGCAATCGACAAGTACATTCAAATCGCAAATTTTTTTTTTCTTACTCATAAATTCTTTTATTTTATTTCAGGTCAGTGTAGATAATTCTCCGGTAGTTGATCTTTCAAATTTTCTTTTTAAATGTCCCGATGTATTTGGTGATGATGTTTGTTTACCATACGATGATTTACAACAAGAAATAGAAAATACACTTCGATTACAACTTGATTCTGAACCTATTGTTGCTGCTACACTTCTATTTTTAACATGTAATCAAAAAGATCAAGAAAAATTAAATGCTAGTAAAGAAATTATATGTAAATATTTCGATAATATTATAACTAATCCTGATGAAGAAAAATATCGTCGAATTCGATCACAAAATAAAGTTTATCTTGAAGTAAAATTATGTTCATAATTTCTTTTTTTTTTTTAATATTCTAATTTTATTTGTTCGTTTTTTTTTCAGAAAGTTTCACCATTAAAATATGCTTTCGAATTACTTCAAGCTAGTGGATTTATATTATCTGATGATCAGGAATCAATTGTTTATCATGAACGTTCTATTGAACCATTACAATTAGCACGAGATACACTTATGAATGGTGAACCAATACAAGTACAACTTGATAGAAATTTAAAAATTTTTCAACCAACTAAAGAACATCCATCAATACCACCTGTACAACAATTACCAAAAGATCCATTATTTTATCAACCAACTGTTGGAGATGTTTTACGTGAAAAACAACGACAAAAAGATCTTATTGAAAAAGAAGAAATGTTAAGAACGAAAGTAATGCGTGAACGTGATGAAAAACCTGATTCATATATTCAATATAAATATACAGTTATACGTATACGAATGCCTAATGAAATTATAATACAAGTTATATTTCAATCAAATGATTTACTTTCATCTTTATTTGATTATTTACGTTCACATATTCTTGTACACAATTGGTTACCATTTACATTAATATCAAATGCTGATCGACGAGTTTATACAAGTCAAGATGAACAATCAATAACATTTAATCAATGTGGTCTTGTACCAGCTGCTTTACTTTCATTTCAATGGGATGAACAAGCACTACGTGATGTACAAGGACAAACACCTAATTTTCCGGCTGATACTTTTATCAAACCCGAAGTACTGGCAAATGCAAATCGATTGTGAATTGTATCAATTATTTTTCTTTACTTTACTTTACTTTTTTTTTTTGCTGTCATATTTTAATATTATTTATTCATACATCTGCTATATAATATTTTTAAAATCAGCGTAAATGTATACATGTATTTCAGAAATTTAAAGAAAAAAAAGATGATTGAAAAAATGAAAAATATGAAAGCGAATGCACTGAAATTATTTCGAACGGCTATTGATGCTGTTGATCCATATACATGTGTTAAACATTATCTTGTTTTTAATAATAATTCCTCACATAATGGAAAAGCAGAATTACATGTTGGAAATAATCATATCACACTTGACCATAATCTTTATGTTGCAGCATTTGGAAAAGCAGCTATAGGTAGCACACAAGAGTTTAGATTTGTTATTAATCAAAATAATATATTCTTTTATATTTAATAAGGCATGTGCCGAGCTATAGATGAACTTTGTCATGAACATATTATCAAAGGTATTGCTAGTGTTCCTGTTGGTGCAATTGAACAAGCTCAAAGGAAAGATTCATATATATACATATATATATATGTTGATCGTAATTGAATTCTTTTAGAAATGGTACTTATTCGTCATGGAATTGTTCATTTGATGTGTATGAAGGTGCTGAACATAATTTGCCCGATCAAGCAGCAATGAATACTGCTCAACGTATTCAAACAATGATTTCAGATACAATGTGTGCTGATGATATTTTCTTAGTACTCATTTCAGGTAATATATTATAGAGAAAAGAAAGTGATCTATTATTATTATTATTATTATTTATTTTATTTTGTATTCTTATACAAAAAAGTTTCTATCGGCCAAACATGGGACCTGGGTTTTCTGAATAGTCATCAAAACGTCGTTGTACTTGTTCATTTTTGTATAATAATTCAGCCAAAATATTGTCTTCGTTACTCGATGATGATTGAATATCTCTTCGTCGAATTATTGAACGTTCAGGCAATAGTGAATGAGGACGTTTGCGTACAAAAATACCTAAATTTGATCCCCGAAAAAGAGGAATAGATGTACGCGCCTGAGCATCAATACGACGTTTTACAAAATTAATTTGTTCATCCAATAATGGTGATGATATAGCTACTTGTTGAGTATAGATAACATAACACACAAGTAGTAAACCTTCAATAAAGTATAAAGAAACAAAAAGGATTCATATTGATAGATTATTTGCAAGTTCTTACCAGTGACGCAAACAATTTGCATGAAAGAGCCCATAATGTGTTGAGTGGAATGAAATAGTTTAGTAATAGGGTTAAATGATCTCGTCGAAATAATATATGTCTATGTCTTGATTCTATTGTTTTTTATATATAGATATAACGAGTATAAGATTTTTTTTTCTTCTCTCCCTCTCTCTTTTTCTTTTTTCTTTTCTTTTTTTTTTTGATAAGTTAGCATGAAAAATATGAACGACATTAATGAAGATTTGAACAAATTATCTTGCGTGATATAATTTTTAATCGTATTTGAGTTTCTTTATTTTTCAGTTCATAATTAGAGATATAAGTGCGTGTGTATAAGATAATTCGAGACGTACTGCGTGATTCAGGAAATATTCGATCCGTTTCAAGTAGGGGTGACATGCACTTGAAATGACGTCAGTCAATCATCAAATAAATAAATAAATAAATATATATATATATATATCAGGAAAAAATAAGCTGCAGTCGGTATTTTCGAGATATCGTTATCATAGCAGCATATTTTTTAAAAAATAATGATATATTCTGAAAGCGCGTGGAGTTTTCTATCAGGCTGTATATTTGCCTTTCCGTTTAAATATATGTATTACCAAAAAAGATTGAGTGTAATGAAGACACCCTCATGTCCAGATTTCCATAGACTTGATTTTGTCACTGTCACCAAAATTGGTTTTTAAAATTTTTCATCACTATAGAATTACCTTTTGAAAAGAGTAATTATATATTCTGATAGAGCTTGAAATTCTCTATCACCTTGTATATTTACTTATTTCCTTATATTCATTTATCGAAAAGAAAATTTGAGTATAGTGAACGCACCGTCAATTGACAAGTACCGAAAATCGTTACTTTTTTCCTTTTTTCACAATATAGTTACTATACAAATAAATCCCTAAAAAATGAATTATAGATTCTGATAGAGCTTGAAATTCTCTATCATTCTATATATATTTTCCCTTGCTTTGTATTTATGTGCTGATTGTGCTACAGAACATAAATGCAAAATAGTTAAAAAATGTACAGGTTGATAGAGAATTTCAAGCTCTATCAGAATATATAATTACTCTTTTCAGAAGGTAATTCTATAGTGATGAAAAATTTTAAAAATTAATTTTGGTGACAGTGACAAAATCAAGTCTGTGGGAATCTGGACATGAGGGTGTCTTTACTACACTCAATTTTTTTTGGTAATACATATATTTAAACGAAAAGATAAATATACAGACTGATAGAAAACTCTACGTGCTTTCAGAATATATCATTATTTTTTAAAAAATACACTGCTATGATAACGATATCCCCAAAATACCGACTGCAGCTTATTTTTTTCAGATGTATATATAGAATGTGAATGAAAAACTGAAATTCCCTTTGATTTTGAATTAAAACTGTTCGTTAAATTTTAACAGACGATTAATTTAGGTGGTGGTTCAGCATTATTACCGTTACCCATTGATGCTCTTTCATTAGAAGAAGAAATTCAAATAATAAAATTATTACAAAGTAAAGGAGCAAATATTCAAGAACTAAATACAGTTCGACAAGCTATGAGTCAACTTAAAAATGGTGGACTTGCTCGCATCGCTAAAGCAACAACTGTTAGTAAATACTGTTTTATTTTTCTTAATGTTGTATTTTTTCTATTTGCATCTTTCGTTTTTTTGTTTTTGGAAAAGATTATTGGATTAATTCTTTCGGATGTTATTGGAGATCCACTTGAATTCATTGCATCTGGTCCAACATTCTATAGCGGCAATAAAAATCGACAAACGCTCAATATTTTCAATAAATATGATCTTATGAATCGTATCCCTGCTCAATTTCTTCAACATTTAAAACAATATGAAAATACTAACGATGATCAAAATATGTGAGTGTATGTTTTTATTTTCATAATAATAGATATATGATAGTTTCCAATCAAATAACTGAACTGATTTTGATTATCCAACTCCTTTCATAAGAATTAAAACTGATGCTCTTGAATTTCTTATTTAATCCTATTTATTAGATTTATCACTGTTTCATTCTAAACTATGTAGATGAATTGTACAAATGTACTGAAACGAAACTGTTAGAAACTGAGTGCTAAGATAAAATTAGCTGTTTAATAATCCAGTTCATATGAAAAGAACTGCCTACTAGACTCAGTTCATATAAGAAGAGTTGATAAGAAGTTTTCTTTTTTGTTTTGATTCTCACGATTCATTGAACTGCAAGATGTCAAATGCCGACATAATCATCGAGTAAAATCATTGTTTATTTTTATCTTTGAAGATCTTCAATTAAACAAATTTATAATATTATTGTGGGTAGTAATCGTATTGCATTAGAAGCAGCTGCTCATTTATGTCATCAGTCACTCAACTATATTCCTTTTATTATGACAACCTGTTTACAAGGTGAAGCACGCGAAGTTGGCCGCCGTATTGTTGAACTTATCACAACAAAACCATCTCAATTAATTTATAATGATAATATTGGTTGTTTATTTTCTGATAAATCAACGTTTAATGCTTTTCAAACATTGAGAAAAGAACATAAACGTTATTGTCTTTTGTTAGGTGGTGAAACAACAGTTGTAATGAAAAATAATGTTGGAAAAGGTGGTCGATGTCAAGAACTTGCAGTATCTGCAGCATTAACTATTGATAATAATCAGGAGGATATATCTATACTATTATTAGCTGCTGGCTCAGATGGAATCGATGGACCAACTGATGCAGCTGGTGCTTTTGCATTTAATGGTATGATTACCAATGAAGACGATATCAAACGAGCTCATATATCACTTGATACACATGATATATACACATACTTGAGTGAAATAAATGATGGTGCTAATCTTCTCAAAAGTGGACACACTAGTACAAATGTAATGGATATTATTATAGTACTTGTTGATAACAAAGAATAATAATCAATAAATTCATTTTCAATCTTATACAGTGATTATTTTGATATTCCGTGCAAACTTAGTCTGTTTGATTTGAAGATTTATTCATATTGTTGTTAATTATTGAAGTTGAAAAAAGTGTAATAATTTTAAATTGAGAATATCTATTTTTATTTTATGTTTGTATTAATATCGTATTCTTATTCTAATAAATTTCTCGACATCAAGGCCATTATTTATTCTAACTTTAGTATTCTAGTTAACTATGTCATGCGTAAAATATATTATTTCACTATTTTTTACTACAGGGATAATTATAATGCTAAAATTTATTTTAATAACTTTTGCAATATCATGAAAAGCCACAGGCTAAATGAAATTGTAAAAAAAAAGAAAACAGTGCGTGGTTTATGAAAAATTTTTCTTAAGATTAGATAACCAATACGATTAGGTATTCAATATATATAAATTATAACAATGTTGCTATGATCAATTCATAATTACATTAAATTTTTATATCTATTAGATTTCAATGCTTCTATTTTAATGTTGTTTTTTAATTCAAAAGGAAAAATCAATATCATAAAATAAATAATAAATTGAATATCATCAACAAAATTTGATTTAAATCTAATCTATTAATCGAGTATCTTTTCTATGAAATGATCAAAAAAAAACGAGCTGATAGACTTGGTAACAGCGCAAAATTATATTTCAGTATATCTTAAATATTCATAATTTCGTATGTTCAATTCATCTTATGGTTTATCTGGTATAAGTCTATTAACCCGATCAAAATCAATCGAATATTTTGATGATCAAGATCTCTCTGCATTGCAATTTTGGATGTTTATGGGTACTCACATAAGAAATTTTAGAGAATAATAAAATTCAAATTTCCTATCTGATTTTTAGGAGTATTAATTTCTTTTTTAATTCTTATATTCATTGTTTTAAGTACTATCATTTATTATGAACTATTTACTGAAAATAAGAATGAATTAACTGAAGAACATGCTAAACGATTAAAAGATTTTAAAGTGAGTGACTTATTATTAAACAGCACAGAGTTGAAACCAGTCAAACTAGATCGGACTAGCCGGTAGTCCAGTATAAGTCATTTTTCACTTTTTCCATCCTATAATAGCCAAATCAAACTCTCGATTAGTCATATCTATCACTGAATTACTACAGAAATTACGTAAAGTTCCTGTTTCATTATTATAGTACTTTTGTGAAACATGATTGTGAATGAGTATTGAAGTATGTGACAAGAAAATTGAGTCCATCTATACCAGCTTGCCTAAAAGATCGCAACAAGCATTCTGATGCTGTTTTAATCTACTGACAGATGGTAACAGAAATGTCAATATGTCTGTGATAGCCTAGTAGATTTTTCGACATGCTAGTTTTGATCTCGTCTTGGTTTGTCATATAGATGATGAGGCTTCTCACAATAGTTAAAGTAGCTCCATCGTGTTTAATATTTTAATCTCGTAGAGATTATACTGAAAGATTTTTCTTCACTATACAAGGTAGAAAATAATATTATTCTAGGGGGTATCGCTATAATTTCAAACAGAAGACATAATGAATTTTATATTAAATGAAAGCCCGTCAAAAATGGAATTTCAAAAAAAAGGTATAAAATTTTTGAGAATTTCTTAAGTTCGGGATTAAAAAGTTTTCATAATCTTCACTATTTAGTACCAATAAATCCTATTTTTGACGAGCTTTCATTTGATACAAAAATTCATTATGTCTTCGATTTGCAATTATAGCGGTATCCCCTGGAATAATATTATTTTCAATCCTGTATATTTCCATATATTTTCTCTCTCTTGAGATCTATCGATAGACAGATCATTACATTGAACTACAAATTCTAGATTAGCTTTGTACACTAAAGAAATATCCGTCAGATATAGAAATTATGAATCAACTACATGTCTATTCTGCTTTTCACAAGAGATTTACTTTGTTATCTCTTACGTCTCTGTGAAAGATATAGCATAAATAATACGAAATGAAAATAAATATATGATAAACTACAATGATTAGATATGTCACAATACCGATACCATTTGCTATTGAATGTTATTTAATATCAAGTGGTGTTGATACCAACATTAGTCAATATCATTCAATATGAATATCACTCAATATCAATGCCTCAATACTATATTGATATTGTAACATGTCTAACAATAACGAACAACGATTCCATTTTGTTTTGATAATATAACGTGATATCGAAGTGAGTTGATAAAATATATTAAGCGTATTTTGATGAATATTCATTTAATAGAAATATTTTAATATATGTTCCCTCATAGAAATGGCCATTGACATTAATAAAACTGGTTTGATTTTTGAACAGAAAACACTTCTAGTATGACCAATGTTTTTGAAAAAAAACACGCAAAAACTCAAAAAAAAGTCTATACCAGCCGTTTTACCATCACCGATTGCAATTCTGAAACAGAGATTTATTATATCTTGTTTTTTTTTTGTTGTATTTTAAGGAACTGACAGGTCTTCAAATTGAATTAAATGATATTCAATCAATTTTAATGAATGAATTTATTTTGGAAGCATGGAAACGTGAAAAATATAGACGAGAAAGACATTTAAATAATTAATTCTATTACCGGAATACAATGTTCATTCATAGCAAAGATGAATACAAATACAATAGACTATACAACAATGAAAAAACAAATGAAGAAAATAATCTTCTGCTATGACTACTACTACTAGAAGAAATCCATTGTCGATATTGTTCATAAGTTTCATTAGATAATTGTTTTTGTATTTTCATACGATATTGATTATTATGATTTATTGAATAACGTCGATAATATTTTTGTACATCAATAATAAGTCGAAATTTTTTTGTACGACATAAACCATCAAATTTTTGATTAATACCTGTTTTTTGTCCATTTGATGTTGAAATAAAATAATAAGAATGATCATCAAGAAATTCTGGCATATTTGGATATGGTAAATATTTTGATATTGATAATGTATATATTAAACGTTTTGAACTATATGGTTGATCACATTGTATAAGTGGTTGATAATTTTCTGTAAGACATAAATGATAATCAATTTTTGATACTAAATATAATGTATTATATTCAACAGATAAAGATTGATTATAATGTGGACAAAGAAAATCAATTGTATCACCAAGACGTACATTAAGTGCAGATGATTTATTAGATTGAAAAAATGAATTTGAAGAATTCCATTCAATTTGATAATTTTGTCGTCGTCGATTTTGACATAAAGAAAAAGATATTAAATTTAATAATAAAAAAGTAAATTTTAAATATAACATGGAATCAAAAATACGTTTCAATTTTGAATGAAGTTGTATGAAATATTTGTTCTATTTATCTATAGAAATTTATGAAAATGACGAAGTGCTGAGATTACATAATCAATGACAAGCTGTGAGATTGTGACAAACATCATGTATATGTGTGTCTAATTTCTTTTTTTTTTTTTGTTGAACATTCCAAATTTCTCTCTCGCTTTCTCTTTCTGATGACAAACTATACATTCGAAGGTGATTTGTTGTCAAATGATGTTCATTAGTCAAGATTATACCGCTCCGATATATAATAGAAGAAAAAAACAAAATTCTATTCACACTTTTTCTTCTGTAATCTATAATGATGAATGATGACAAGAGGTGATTTGTTGGCCGATGATGATTCAATCTGCTTCATTCGAGAAAATAGATAATGCCTGAAGATATTTTTCTTCTTCTTATTATTATTATTGTTTATACTTGTAGAGATAAACTTAGTGACACGGATCAACAACATTCTTAAATCGATTTTGTATACCTTTTTTTTTTTGTGTTTCTCTCACTCTCTCTCGAAAATATTCACAGTTAAGGTTCATTAGTTAGAATGGTGATGTGTCATTGATTTTCAAATAACTTAAGAGTGTTGCTTGCTTAAATATTGAAAATTATTTGTTATTTGTTTTGTCTATATTTATTAACACAATTTGAACTTTAGCCTTGGCATCTCATTTTTCCTTGACAAGAACTTGCGATAAGACAAGTTAATAGTGTTACTTTATAATTTCTATTCACATCGTTTTTTTTTGCTTAAAATAAGAAATTATCAATGAGTAGTTTCATTCTATTCCTATCTGTATCTTGACTTTATCAGCCTGATAATCGGAACTTGCTGACATTGTGTCTGTCTACTAGTTGAGAGTATAGAACAAAGAAAAAGAAAAAGAAAAGTGAAAAGAGACAAAAGAGAAAAAAAATTTTGTTTTATTTATATCGTAAAATATCGATATAGTTTTGTTAAGTATTAAATTCCAAAATTCTTGTCATTGATCATCGATTGAACACAAAACAATGCCTTTGACTTGATTCTTCATACTATTTACTTATTCTTCTTTTTTCTCGATTAATATGAAAAAAAGAAAGGAGAGCTACTTATTAGCTTGAACGAACACAACAATAATATTTGGTGTCCTTCTTCTAATATATATATATATATATACAGATGTAGACGGACGCTCAAGCATTCGGACAGAAAGAAGCTCAACAATAGCATGGATGCAAACTCAATCTCTCTTTAACGGCTGTCGAATAAATGAACTAGCCGTATGTCTATATGGTTTTTTTTTGCTTGTCTTGTGATGCTCTTGACTTAGTGCAAAAGTGGCCGATATTCAACATCGAGGCACATAATAGAACTAACAATAACAACAAAAGTAAAGAATGAAAACAGTAGTTCAACATTTTGACTCTCTTGATCCGATAACAAAACAACGATTGTTTAGGCAGTCAGATATATATTGATAACTTTTTATTTAAACCATCATCTAGTTTCTCTCTGGAGAGACGAAGACAGGGAGAGAGAGAGAGAGAGAAAACTAATAATGATTATATTACATCGACAAGAACTAAATGTTCTATTTTGTCTTGATAGATATATATTGGTATGTTAGATTGAACAGCTCTTCCTATCTATATTTACATTTCATCATCTCTAGGGAGAGGGAATAGAGAAATCAACCATCATCTTGTTCCATTTTTTGACATTCCAATTAGTATAGAAGCACCGACTCGTGCAATGTATATATATATATATATATATATATATATACATACAAACACAAACACGTTCTCGTTGATATGTTTGTTCTTTCTTTCACTTACTCACTCGTTTCTCTTCTTTTACATTCTTACTTGTACTACAAGCAACGGCTGACTGCTGCGTGTCTGTCAAAACTAAACTTGTCCCAACTAATCGAAATATCGCCTGTGATATATGTATGCATGTGTGATGACCGAGCCGACATTGGATGACTGACGTTGTACTGAATTATAAGAACGAAAGGGCAAATTAACCTAACTGATCACTGTCCGATATTACAGAAAATGTATGGTTTGATCATTTCCTTCATCTCTCTTGTCTTATTCTATATACAGATATCGGAAACGGTCTGTCTCTGCTCTAGTTCTTCTCTCATTTATTGTGTAAGCAAAGAGGGAGATAGAGAGTAATTTTCTTTTTCTCTTTGCCGTCTCGTTTTATCTCTCACTTGTGTGCATATATATATATATACATGTATGCTGAGCTTTCAAGACAGGTAATCGATTATGTTGTGGAGAGAGAGAGAGAGAGAACAACGGTGGTGACGACAAACACAAGCAGCACTTCCTAATGAGAGTATTTTTTTTGTTAGATCCTCCTTTTTTTCTTTTCAACGATTACATCATCATATGGAAATTTCGAATTGCTTTGTACGTGCGTGTATGTCTGTAAATGAAAAAAATACGTTTTGTGACGGTAGTATACTTTGACAAGTGGGTGGAGTATAAAAAAAAAGAGAAGAACGAAGTTTCAGTATGTTTATTCAATCATTCCTTGAGCTGACCGATGAACAATTTGCATATGTGCGAGCACACTTGCACAATCATCATTTGTTCAAAATGACAGCAACAAAAAATAGTAGTCTTGAATGATATTCATTCATGATTACTTATCAGTTAATAGATTCTTTCTTTTTTCTTCTCTTTCAGATTTATATCTGAATGTGTTCATTAGATAATGTTGGTTTTTTATCGACAATATGTGGTATTCTTATGCATTCTATTCTATCAAATAAATATCATTGAACCTTCTCACATTCGTCATCTTTCTCTATCAAATAATATCAATCATTTAACTTATTATTCTCCTTTAAAATGGCTTTATGTTGCTTCAGTTGATTCGATTTCAATTTATGATAGCAATTTAACACTCTTACAAAATATATCTACACAAAATTCTTATTTAAATGATTATGATATATGTAAAATAAATCCTTGTCAATGTTTAAATAATTTAACAAATAATAATAATAATAATAATAATGAAGGTGATGATGTAGCAACAGATAGATATCGTCGTTCAAAGTCGATTCAATCATTAAATGTACAAAATTCTATTGATCAAAATAATTATAATTTAATACTTTATCTTGAAACAGAAAATAATATAGAAAATAAACCATATTTAATTGATTGTTGGTCACTTCAATCAGGTTCATGTATTATTCGTAATGCATTAAATTTATCGAAAATTTACTATCAACAAATATCAACTAATGAAAAAAATCATGTACAAAAATTTTTATTTAATACTGATTCAACAATACCAAATCATATATTTCCGTTTCATTTTAAATTCAACAAATGTAATAATACACCAACTTATTTATTTTTAACATCAACATTAAGAAAAAATTTTATTGTATCAAATCAAAAAGAAAAATCTGATGATTTAACCGATCGTTTTTATTTTCAATGTCTTGAACAAGCACAACGACGTACAATTGCTTTACGAGCTTTTGTTCATAATGATGAAATAAAAAGATCGCATAACTATGTAAACAAATCTATGTTCACAACGGTTAAACAACGAAACATTACCGTTGTTAAAGATTCGATTATGAAACATCAACCTGTTCATATTGAGAACTCTATGAATAAAACAAGGTCATCTTCAAATAACAATAAATCGAATTTAACATCGATTATAGGAATTTCTCGAATATCATCTACTAATCCTATGGTTTCTGATGATCAAATAACGAATAAAAGTAATAATACGAATGATAATAATAATAAGACATCATTTTTATATAATTTTATTCATGAACAAATTCCATTTATAAATATAAATGATTATTGTCCAGAACAATTATCTGTTGTACGTTCAATTTATACAGATTTTTTTGAACATGAATCATCAGATAAATTTCGACTTTTTCAAGATATTATATATGATGAAAATAATTCATCTATATATTTATTTACTAATCAACAATATGTTAGTAAAATTATACGTTTATGTGAAGGACAAATATCATTTCGACATTATGTTGAATTACAAATAAATTGTGGAAATGAATATACACTTATACAAAAAGTTAAATTAATTAAATTTAAAAATAATAAACAATATTTATTAACAATAGCATCTAAATCAAAAACATTACATAGTCTTGAACCATCAATAAATAGTCATTCGGCAATATGTTTATATGAACTTGATCAAATAAGAAATGCATTTATTGATAATATACTTGATTTATCAAAAGGAAATATTTCACTTGGTATGGCTTGGTTACATGGTGAATCAGTTATTGTAAGACTGAATTTATTTAATCAATTCAAAAAACAAAAAAAAATACCTATATTATTTCTATTCTTATTTAGCCACAATATCCTGCACCATATGGGAATTTAGCTCAATGTTCAACAACACGTGATGCAAGCTATTTAATGATTTATGAAGGATCATCAGATATTATTTCACAACCAATAATTAGTTTTTCATCTGATCAATTAACATCATTAGAAGCAACTGTAGTTAATGATTATATTGTTGTTTTAGCTGGTACAGCTGATGGTAAAATTAAAAAGGTAGTTGTTATTTTAAGAAAAGTTACATTTGACAATCGATGAAAAAAAAGATTATCTTCTATTCGATTGTTAATAAGAAAAAATTTTGAAATGGTTTTTTTTTCATTTTTTGGAGTTCATCGTTTGTTTTAGTTTTTTTTTCTTTGGCATAGGTAGGGAATAACGAAATTAGAATCATCCTAGGAGAACTTGAATTTATGGAATCAAGAAAAAAAAATATTGAAAAATTTATTTTGTTTGAAATTTTCAGAATATTATAATGATTAAAATCAATGAAAAAAGATTGTAATTCAGCCTAATTAATTCAAATATTCATTGAATTATTTTTAGTCTCGTAATTTTCTATTTATGTTCATGAGATGAATCCAAAAGATAAGAAAACATTAGAAAAAATTTTATTCATTAATATTTTCTTTAAAATATGAATATAAATAATTTATAAATTTTTTAGATTAGTATTCAACCAACGACGAAGAAAACTTTTCAATTTGAAGAAATATTTGTTCATTATGGTGAATCTATTCTTCGTGATATGATATTAGATAAAAATAGTCGTTTTCTTTATGGAGCAACTAAAACTCGGGTAATTGTGTGAGTAATTGAGTATCGTTCTCTATTCTTTCTCCCTCTCTCTCTTTTATATCATAAAAAATTTTTTTAATCTTCTTTATTTCTTTTATTGACATTTCAATTATTTTCATAGCTCTTTCAAGTTGATCTTCACGATTGTGGTCGTTATAAAACATGTTTTTCATGTCTTTCATCACAAAATCCATACTGTGGTTGGGGTACAACACTCAATCGGTAAATTTTCTTATTGAAAAATTAAATTTTAATCTTCTTATGCTTCTACAGTTGTACAATACGTCGAAATGAAACAAATGATAAACGACGTTTTCGTTGGTTACAAATACACGAGAGTTGTCCAAGTATAATCGAAATGAGACCGGCTTTTATTTCAAAAGCGAAATCTGACAAAGTAAAAAGAAAGTTTTTTTTTCTTCAATTCTCTTTTTATTTTTATTTTTTGAATATCTTAGTTACATTTAAAAGTTGATAGTGTACCTGATGATTCTACTTCAAAATATTTCTGTTCATTTGGTTTAATTTCACTTTTAACTGAAACAGAAGATAATAATAATGATAAACCTATTTATATATCAAATGCAATTAAATATGACAATTATATTATATGTTATTCACCTCCACCTGAAACACTTTCAAATATCAATTATGGTATTATAATTAATATTCTTCTTTATGATAATTTTATTTTTATAATTTAGATTCAATTATCATACGTCTATTTTATAACGATATTATTCTTACAGAAAAAAACGTTACATTTTATGATTGTTCATCATATTTAACGTAAGTATTTCTTTTTCTTTGTTCATAGATATTTTTAAATAAAAATAACTTTTAGATGTACATCATGTATGAATAATTCATTCGGTTGTACATGGCAATTATTAACAGCAACATGTATTGATCGTGATTTAGTTACTGAAAAAAATGAAATGATAATAAATAATTCTTTAATTAATCAATGTCCACGTTATGATGTATCAAAGAAAGAAATATTTATTTCTGATGGTGATTTATTTATTCTTGGTGAAAAAGATCAAGTTATTATTCAAACAATTGGATTAAAATTTAATATTCAAAAATATTTTCGTTGTATGTTAACATTAATGAATTCAAGTATAATTAGAACTATTGGAAAAATTACTAATGATTCACTTATATGTGATCCATTTCAAGTAAGAATTTAAAGAAAATTGTTTGAATAAATTTTGAAAGAAAGTTTTTTTTTTTTTTTCTATTTTAGATTTCTTATGAAAATGATGTTGGTCAACAAAATTTATTATTCGAAATCGAATGGAAAGAATGTGAAAATGAATGCACATATAAAAAATTAGACGCTCTAACAAATTTTACAGGTAATAAATTAATATCAATGAATTTTCTTAAATTTCTTTCTTTTTCTTTTTATATAGTAAACATATATAAATGTAAATATCTAGCTGATTCTTGTGGTTCATGTATATTACTTCATGATAATTATCATTGTATATGGTGTGAAACAGATAAATCATGTCATCATGAAATAAATTCATCAATATGTAAACCAAATCATATAATAAGTTCATCAATGGGTATATGTCTCGATCCACGTCTTAGACAAATCTATCCTATGATAGGTCCACAATATGGTCGTACACCAATACGAATATATGGTTCAAGTTTAGGTAAAAAACCACATGATATATCTGTTGTTTTTATTAATTCCAATCAAACGGAATATCAATGTCATATTCAAATTGAATCATATATTATTGCTCAATCATTTATATGTGAATTACCTTCTCTACAAATTGGAATATATACAATTAAAGTTACTGTTCATTCAGTTGTTAGTAAAGATCGACCTATTTTTCATATTGTGGTATGTATAGATTTTTCTTTTTGGATATAAGATTTAATATGAAAATAAATTTTTGTTTTTATTTTTTTTATAGAAACCAATTATTAATGATGTTTATCCAAATTTAGGACCTCGATCTGGTGGTACTTTACTTTCAATAAAAGGAAAACATTTAACAATAGGAAGTAAAATAAATATATTTGTTGGTCATCAACCATGTTTTGTTATTGAAAATGAAGAAATATTTACTAGTAGTACAATATCAGATGATGAAAATAATCAACTCATTATTCCATCAATATCTCAATTGGAATTACCTGATGAAAATGAAGAAGAAATTATTCAATGTCGAACATCTAAATTAACAGTTATGAACGAGCATGATGAAAATCGACAACAAAGATTTGTTAAACGACAAGCATTATGGATTGGTACAATTACAATTTTAATTGATAATTTTACTGAAACTTATTCGAATATTACTTATTCATATATAGAAGTAAGCACATATAGATGACTTGGGAACTATTAAAAAAAAAAAAGATTTTTCCTATTTCAAGTTTGAAAATATTTGTCTACTTCCTCTATATTAGAACCAAGACCAAAAAAAAACTTGCTCCTGCACATTTCTATTCTTTACAGTTCGAATA